GGGGGGGGGGGGGGGGGTACGAGATCTTACGAAACACACGTAAATCGGTTTGCGGGCATTGTGCTGGAAGCTTGACGAGTGTGGTGGAGGATCTAGTAGTAGATGGGGTGGAGGATGGGGAGGATGGGGTTGTGGGACTGGATGCGGGAGGACGAGCTCCAGGCCCAGGGTGAGTGAGCCTGGACGATGCCCTCGTGGGAAACGACGCTGGTCGGGACGATCGGGAGGACGTAGGCTGCGGCTACGGTGATGGCCAGCACGAAGAAAACAGCAACCTGGAAACAGAAAACGGACCGAATTAAGTTGGAGTATGACACAGGCCTGCAGACTGATGACTGAAATATATGGACAAAGCTGTATATCGACGGTGAAACTACCAGACCACGTATCTCGTTTGCGGTGTTCAAAAATCTCCACTCACATTTTATTTTTTTGAAGGAGATCAAATCAATATCATTCCTTACAATTTGCACAGATTTTTCTCCACACAAAGAGGAAAAATCACGTAAGTTTTCACGAATTGACGTTGAGTAGTTTTCTATTGAAAAAATAAAGTATGGCAGGAAGTCTGCGACGTCGCAAACCGAGATACCGACGGTGAAACTACCAGACCACGTATCTCGTTTGCGGTGTTTAAAAATCTACGCTCGCATTTTATTTTTTTGAAGTAGACCAAATCAATATCATTCCTTGAAATTTTCACGGAATTTTCTCCGCACAAAGAGGAAAAATCACAGAAATTTTCAAGACTGGATGTTAAGTAGTTTTTCATTTAAAAAAATAAAGTATGACAAGAAGTCTGCGACGTCGCAAACCGAGATACGTGGTTTGGTAGTTTCACCGTCGATATGTCGCAGGCAGAGAGTAAAATCAGGCATTTTGTCAAATGCCTAGGCAAATAGTCAAATATTCTGACTTAGATTGAAATTCCGATCCTTTTAGTAATTTCAGACAAAATAATTCATTGCTCCTGCAAGAAAAAATTCTCAGTAAAAATGTGCACACACAATAGTATATTAAACGATTTTTAGCTCCTGAACAGACACTCATCTTGAAATTTTCAGCATGTCATAAAATACACAATTTTTAGAATGTGAAAATACACTAATATGAGACGGAATTGAAGAGGGAGGGACAAAAAGAGTTCGTAGGTTTGATGAGTTATTTTTCCGAAAATGTTGAAAACTCGCGAGCTTCTTGCCATAAATTCACAAAAAATTGTGTAAACCGTCAAAATTTAACTATCTGCCTAGGCATTTGACAAAATGCCTGATTTTACTATTTGCCTGCGACATATGGACAAAGCTGTATATACGAAGAAGACAAAAAGGATATGGAGGGATACATTCTGCCGTGCTAAGGAAGAACGCCGTATGAGCCTCCAAGCGTTGCCAAATTTCCTTTGATTAAACACAAATCTCCTGGTAAACTCATGAATATTTTCTTTCCAATTTTTCAGGTACTTTTGCTCGCAATTTCACCTAAAGTTCCTGAAAATTTCAAGGAAAAATATTCACAACTTTCCTAAAAAATGAACATTTTATGGAAGGAAATTTGGCAACTCTCGAATGTTCATACGGCGTTCCTCCTTGGCACGGCAGTATTGGTGGAAGCGGGTGGTCAATTTTCAGCCGAAAGTAATGACTGTAATAATACATATCGACGGTGTGAGTCGGCAATCACATAACTCGTATGCGGTGTTTGAAAATCTCCGCCTCTATGTTATTATTTGAAAGGAGGAAAAATTGACATCATTCCTTCAAGTTTTTGCAGAATCTTCTTCGCACAGAGAAGAAAAATCACGGCAGTTTTAAAGAATTGCCGTTGAGTAGTTTTTCGTTTGAAAAAGGAAGTACGACAGGAAGTTTGCGACGTCGTAAACCGAGTCATGTGATTGCCGACTTACACCGTCGATATTCTCATTTGATTCATATATTTTTTTTCATCAATTTAAATAAGAACAATCCATGTAGAGTGTGCAAACATTTCAAAATCATGAGTTGAAAAACGCGGCTTCTGCGAGTTTAAATATTAGAACCAAACAGAGCGTGCTGCCAGCGCGAGAGGCTCACTGGCGCCTACAAACCTAAGTGGATACTTCACGCATTGCGCAATGTTTGAAGTATCCACTTAGGTTTGTAGGCGCCAGTGCGCGTTTTGCGCTGACCGCCCGCTCGCCGTGCCGCGGCGCGGCACCTCAAGCAACTAATTCACAACAGAGATGTTGCACAAAAGTCATACGAAATTGAAGGCGCTCCTACATATGATGTAGTAATGACTGTAGCCCCTATTCAAGAGCCTAAAGAATCATTCTGAGGCAAAAAATTGGCAAAATTCAGATGAATGAAAGCAGAATGCTGCTTAAAAACAACGTCACATTCCATTCAATTATCGATTTCTGTATCAAATGCGAGGTTGTTTTCTAGACAGGTTTCAGTAGTTTCACCTTAAACATGAAATTTATCAAATTCAAGACACCTGAAAACTCTGATCTACATTGCACAGTAACATAATTATTTATTCTAAGATTTAAAACGGGCCGATGAATACAGTTTATACTGATTTTCTTGTTTTTTTTTCATTTTTTAAATATTTTTGTGAGTACTGATTCGATTGAAGAAGGCAATGTTAAAATGAAATGCAGTAATGAGAAAAGCCCCTTCATCGAGTTTTACAAGTTTCCGCCAACGTTAGCTCCTATGAATGAATGGAACAGCGGGATCTAACGCCTGGATGCAACTATTAGTGTCCGAAGGACGTGCGTGTTGCATAACCAATTAATTGGAGGCGTTTTGCTTTTCCATGCCCGCATCTCACAGCACAGCAGCCGCGTCGTTTTCGTCATTCGTGTTGCTTTGATTAGTAATAGACACATTTTTGCAGTCATAGAATTGTAATTTGGTGATTGAAAATTACAGAATCAATTAAAAAATACAAAGAAAATTAAAAATTGAAACTAGCAATGATGAGTGGAAAAAGTGAAATGAAACATTGAATTAAGATTTATTATCATCGCTTTGAACACATGTAAACAAAATAGACGATTAAATCATGCAAGAATGGCAAATTAACGTTGAAACTCCCAAATAACGTATCTCGATTTGCGACGGTGCAGATTTCTTGAAATATTTTATTTCTCAGATGAAAAACTACATGACGGCAATTTTTAAAAACAGAAATAAAGATGTTACACAAGTATGGCAAATTAGCAAAAGTATTCATTTGCATCAGCTCGTTTAGTTACGTGAAAATCTTCGAAAAGTGTGAATAATTATTTTTTGTCATGATGTTTTTTTGAAGTGCTTGTTTGCGGAAGAGATGACCGATGCAATATGGAAGTTCAAAACTCGATTAATTATTAACGATCAACTCCGGGCGATCCTCGTATTTTTTTATGGACTATTGTTAGAGGAAAAAAATAGGTTTCTGCTTGACCGTTGTAACCAATTTTTTTGGCTCCTACGAAGAAGATTATTCGCAGTAGAGCTGCAGTAAATTGAATGAAAACACCACGGCTTCACGAGAACATTTTTTTACTACTTTTTTGTATGCGTTTATTTTGTAGGCGTGAAGCATGCTTCACGCCTATGGACACAATCCACAGTCTTCAATAATATCAATGTATCTTTCCTCTGACGGAAACACTTTTTGCTCATATTAAATACAGGACATTTGATGAAAGATATATTTTCCTTTTCCCAAAACTCAGCCACGCAACGTAAAAAAAAGCCGATATAGTGCCAAAAAACCTTATCAAAACATTTTTTAACGTTTTTTTTCATAGCAGAATAAACGCCATAAAAAACAGTGACTCATGACCATAACTATAGTTGCTCCGTATATGAGGGCCTTTCCGACCAAACAGCTTATACCCATGTCAACGTCGCTAACATTATGCAACGTTTATTTTTTTTACAAGTATCCGAAATCACCCACATCATAATCTGCCAAAGTATTCAGAAAAATGGAAAGAAAATTTGAGGCAAATTTCAGAACTCTCTACCAACTAAGCAGTTGGATGTATGCACAATCTTAGCAACATCGACATGAGTATAAGCTGTTTGGTCAGAAAGGTCCCCAATCCTCATATGTTAAGTCCTCTTTAAGCCACAAAAATTGCATTGCGGCAAATGCTTATGAGTACGACCCTCAGGAACAACTGGACCGAGTTTATCGGAAAGGAACCATTAACCCACATCAGGTTGAAACTGAGAAAAAGAGGTTTGAAGTGTCATTACTACATAAGACTCAATGTAGAAAATAAACTTTGACTTCTCTTTTCACAAACTAATTTTTTTGTTTCGATTTCGAGTTTTTGGCGAGAGAAAATATACGACTATACTGAAAAAAAAAAGTTCAGTGAGCATATGGGGCCAGGTTTTATTCGGTACACGTAGCGGAATTATTCGGTCTGCTCAACCAAAATTTTTGGTCCGCTGAACTGTACCGTAAGAATTTTTTATAGTTAGGTTCCACAAACCGAACAGTTCGGTTGAGCAGATCGAAAAATTCGGTTGTGTGTACCGAACAAAACCTGGTTTCATATGCTCCTAACCAGTTCGGATTCACCGAACATTTTTACTTTCTCGCTACCCTGAGGTAGAGGAAGTAGTGTCATCTTGCAGGGGGGAAATAAAGAATTGAAATTTCATAACTTCTAGACGTTTTAAGGTCCCCCCCCAGGAGTCAAAATAACCATACTTGAAAAAATGTCCGTCCGTCAGACGTCCCCCAAATCTGTCTACAGCGATATCTCAGAATCTATCAGTTTAAGTTCATTCAAAATTTGCAGAGAAGACCATATCTATGGTCTCTTTTTTTCAGTGGGAACTTAAGAGCATCCTGAACTCAATTTTTTTAAAATAAGGGTTGGTTCCTATCCGATATACTTGGTCAAACTATGAAGACGGCCCACAATAAGTCCCTATAGTGATTCATTTTCCGATCGTCAGTGCTGGAGCCCATTTATACTGAGAGTCAAGACAACACCCCTCATGGAGTCACAAACGGGAATAACGATTACACAAATTGAACGTTTTTCGTAATCTTTGATCGGCTCATTCTTAAATTCCTTTCTCCGTTCACTCTCTCATTCCGTTTGTTCCTTGTCGAACCCGAAATTCCTCGGTCCATTCCAGGTTATAATCTTTGCAATTGGTGAAAATGTAATCTTTATTCCCGTTTGTGACACTGTGAAGGCCTAAAATCCGGTTAACCAATCAGAAATGGATTCGCATTGTCTTGACTCTCAGTATAAAGAGACTCTAGTCAGTGCGTGCATCAAATCTCCTCAAATACGTGGGCTCGTGTGACAAACGGAACGAGCGGGGCATGCACGTCGCGTTGTCGCATGCAGTTATTATATATATATATATATATATATTATATGGGAAATTGTGTCATCGCTGACATAAGGATAACCAGAGCACCCGAAGCCGGGGCGACCGCAGCCGCAGAACCGCCTGGTGCTCGGATGGTTCCAGCGCGAGAAAGCGTGCAAATTTGAAATTGGGCCCCGACCGACCGCTTCCGCATTTGACCGCCACTCTGCCGTGCTAAGGAAAAACGCCGTATGAGCCTTTAGGCGTCGCCAAATTTCCTTTGGCAAATCGCTAATTTTCAGGAAATGTTTTGAATATTTTTCTGCCAATTTCTCAGATAATTTCGTTTGTAATTTGATCTAAAGTGTCTGAAAATTTCAAGGAAAAATATTCATAATTTTCCGCAGAAATAAACATTTTATCGAGAGAAATTTGGCAACTCTCGAATGTTCATACGGCGTTTTTCCTTAGCACGGTAGCACTCCGAAGTGGCGCTGGCCGGGGCTCCTCACTTGCGCCTCACGCACTTCCCAAATTGATTTAACTCGATTAGAACCCAAGCCACCGATATTATCCGCTCGCGACTCCGTCGATGTTGAACGACGACGTGATTCTGATCCTCAATCGCGTCTCACGCACCTTCCAAATTGATTTAACTCGATTAAAACCCGAGTTGCCGATATTTTAAGTTTTTTATCGATATTTGGACGGAGTTAAACAGAAAGGAACCAAGCCACATCGGGATCGAACCGAGAAAAAGAGGTTTAAAGTTCGGCTCCTGCATAAGACTCAATGTGAAAGATAAACTTTAAGTTCAATTTTTACAAAATTTGCTCCAAAAAAAAACTTTGAATTTTTGGTGATGGATAGTAGAGCAGTGGTTGAGTTCAAAACCACTCATAACTGAATTTTTTCCAAAATGTGGGTTGGTTCCTTTCTGCTTGACTCAGTCCATTTATTTCCTTTGAAAAAAGGATGGTTAGGTTTTTAACAAAATCGTTTTACAAGCACTTTTTACAAAACGCTAGAAAGTCGGAAGGTGTTGAAAGTTATAACCGAACTTTTTATTAGTTTTTTGACATTTTCCGAGTGTAGCCGAGTATTTGTTTTGCTTTTTGAATTTTAGAGTACTGAATATAAATAATGAACAACTGCTCGAAAGTTATAGCATGTCAGCGAAAGTTATAACAGGGTTGTCGCAGTCAGGAAATACAAACCGGGAATCGTCAGGGAATTTTAAAAAGTCAGGAAAAACCTGGAAATGTGAGGGAAACTGATGAAAGCGTCACGGAAAAATTTTAAATTCACCTATTTGCATCCTAGAATGAGTTCGACGTTTCGAGCAACAAACTATTTCAAATCATGCCATTTTAAACATCTGGCGTACCCTTAATTGGACGTATTTCTACCAAAGAGACCTATGTGGAGGTGAGAAATATGGGGTGTGCTCGTTGAAGCTGCATAAGAAGCAATGTAAAAGTGGGCGTGATTCCTTTTGAAGAATTGGAAAAGCGGGATTTTACATTCTATCAAACAGACCTATGTGCCAACTGAGTGCGGGAGTCATGAGCTGCGGGCATGGTAAGAGAGCGTTGTGGACAGGGCTCATGAGTTAAAGACTCCCTCTAACGATCTCCCCCTCGCTCGAGTGCGCACTATCATTGCCGCTGACGTCACTGGCGCACAATTATTCCCATTCACTCTTACGGCCAGAGAACTTACGAGCACACCCCACATTTCTCACCTCCACATAGGTCTGTTTGGTAGAAATACGTCCAATTGTCAGAAAAATTTACCAAAATATGTGACGGAGAAGTCAGGAAATGTCTGATACTTTAATTTTCCAAATTCCGCGGCAACACGGGTTCTAGAATGAATTTGACGTCGGGAACAACACATTTTGCGTAAATACTATTTCAAATTATGTCTCTCTAATCATCTTGCGTCTTTTAAAAATTGTCTGAGAATTTCACTCAAATGCGCCGGGAAAATCAGGGAAATGTCAGGGAATTTTATTCTCTCCATTTTTTGGCAACTCTGTCATAACCGGTTTCTTTTTTAATTTTACATACATACATATCAAGCCGCTACCTCAGCGCACTAGAGCGCTCTGCGACTCCAAATCGCCATCGGAATCGATCCTCCCACAAATCATCGGGTAGATTACACCGTCTGATCACCTCCTCCACTCCCTCTCTTTTTAATTTTTCTAATTTAAATATTTTTAATTAATTTTTTTTAACGTTTTTTTAATTTTTCTTTTTAAATTATCCGAGTCGAGAACTTTCAAAAACGAAATACTCGATCATATCAAAGAGCACTGAAGAATAAAAATGGAAGAACAACTTAATTTGGGGAAAAGGCTGCAAATAGAGAAAAAGGAATAAACAAAACCCGGAACGTTTCAAAATAATTACAATTTTATTTTCAACCGGAAAATAAATTAAAAACAAAAACGAGTCGTCGCTACGCTGTTATCGCGAGACCGAGACTCGTTGAAAATGAAATTGTAATTATTTTGAAACGTTCCGGGTTTTGTTTATTCTTTTTTCTTTATTTGCAGCCTTTTCCCCAAATTAAGTTGTTCTTTTATTATGTGTATTTTGGCTGATTAAGTTGTTTCTCAATAAAAATGGAGATAATGCTCGAACTTACAGATTTGAAGGACATGTTGAAGCGGGAGACGTCTGCCTGTCTACGAAGTGCGAACTTGAAAACGATAGACGTACTGTGCCGTGAGGGGGTGGCGAGAGACTTTATATCCATCCGCGCCAGGACGGAGGATGGAGTGAAACGAGGAACTTTGGAGTCATGAACTTGCATCCGAGGTCACCCTCCGGCACCTGTAACCGCGTCACAGCCACTCCATGGGTGTGACCGTGAAACGCGCGCCCGCTCCTGAACGCTGGAGGCTGGACCACGCGACGTCCACCAGACGTGGGAACGTGCCGTATCCGACGTCGAGCGGGTCGTCTGTGCGGTTTTTTGTGCCGCGGGAAAAAATTGAGGGTCTCAACTGGGGAAGAGGTGTCTGGACGAGGTCTAGATGGTTCTGGCGTGGTGTCATAATCAGAGCCATGGCCAAAGTGCAAAACCACCTATCGCTATTCTGCCGTGCAACGCAAAAACTCCGTAAACGCCATTTTACAGTTTTTTGGAAACAATGTATCATGGCAGATAAACTTGTGTACCTTGGGAAAATGTTTTTACAGACTTCTTTCGCAAATACTATCAAGAACTTAACCTGAAACTTTGAGATGCATGCATGGGTAAAACAGTTTTTATTTTATAAAGTGTTAAGTTCCAAAAAACGAGGGAAAATCTCGATGGATTTACGGCGTTCTTGCTTAGTACGGCAGTATTGCGGTATTCTAAAATTTCTGCTCCTACTTCATTTTTTCGATGAGAAACGAGTCAACTTTATGGGATGGAATCGATACAGAATATACTGCTGACAAAGAAAAGAAATTAAGGAACTCCTAAAAAAATCACGTTTACTGGTTTTCCAAAGAAAAAATTAAGTATGACAGGAAGTCTGAACTGGGGAAGAGGTGTCTGGACAAGGTCTAGATGGTTCTGGCGTGGTGTCATAATCAGAGCGATGGCTAAAGTGCAAAACCACGTATCTCCAATGCGGGATTTCAATATTACAGCTCCTACTTTAAAATGGAGATGTTGCACGTGTGAGGAATTTGCGATTCGACTGTTGATTTTTATGTAAAAGTTTGCGAGAAACACGATGGTGCTACTGGTTTTCTCTGAAATCAACTCCCAAGCTCAAAAAAAGCTCTCAAGTTGATATTTATATTTATGGTAAAACTTAAAATTAACATAAAAATAAGTTCAAGACAAACCACGATGCTATTCATTTTAAGTTTTACCATAAATATAAATATTTCAGATGCTACTTGCCCAAAAATGTTTGTTTCTCTCAAGTTGAGGCCAAAATGGAGGGGATATCCCACGCTATCCTGAGAGTCCACCTCTATATCAAGACAAACTCTCCATGCAAAGATAGGGAGCAAATACATTAGCAGGGTTGCCGTGTTTTCAGTTTTAGAGTCCTCAAATAAAGTGGCAGCCCTGCCAATGTATTTGCTCCCTATCTTTGCATGGAGAGTTTGCCTTGATGTAGAGGTGGACTCTCAGAATAGCGTGGGATATCCCCTCCATTTTGGCCGCAACTTGAGAGCTTTTTTGAGCTTGGGAGTTGATTTCAGAGAAAACCAGTGGCCACATCGTGTTCCTCGTGAACTTTTACATGAGAATCTATAGTCAAATCGCAAATTCCTCACACATGCAACATCTCAATTGAGGGTCACAGCTGGGAGAGATGTGTCTGGAGGTCTACATGGTATGAGTTGAGCCGCATATTCCGTGGTTTTTTTAATATTAGAAATACATTTTTTGGAGTAAAGCCAGACCACGGAGGTTTTCAATTACCTAATTTTTATTTACAAGATGCGTGGATGCATTTCGGACATATAATCCATCTTCCATCTTATTGTTCTTATTCATCTGCATCTTTATTGTTTGTTTACCTATCACCAATTTGTTAATTATTCACCGTTCTTTTATATTCTAATTAGTCGTATAGCAAGCATTTTGACACGTTTTTGTGAAATTTGTCGCTTGTCGTATACTATACATGTGCTGAAGATGGATTATTCATCCGAAATGCATCAACGCATCTTGTAAATATAAAAATTAATTGAAAACCTCCGAGGTCTGGCTTTACTCCAAAAAATTAATGTCTACATGATTCTGGTCAGGTGTGAACACAGATCAATGGCCGATGTGCAAAACCGCGTATCTCTATTGCAGTATTTTAAAATTTTTGCTCCTATTTTCATTTTTCCGAAGAGAACGAGCCAACTTTGGAATTGATACAGAATATTTTGCTAACAAAGGTAGAAAAATTGAGGAAGTGTTCGAAAAATTTCGTTGACTGGTTTTCCACAGAAAAAATGGCTTGCATTTTGCAAAAAGGAGCCAGGAGGATTGCAATGTTGTTAAGATTGTGCAACTTCTTTTGTCTTGGAAGAAAAACCTGATTGTCCATTAACAATTTCTATTTTACTTGCCGAAAACTGTGCATTATACTTCGGATCGGTGTTAAGACCAAATAGATTCAGGTATAAAAAAGTAGTTTATGTTAATTGTTGTTTGCCTGTTTGTACTACTGATGACAGGCCCTAGGGCCGAAATGCACCTAGAAATGTAATAAGCCATTTGTTACACTTGGATTGCATTTCGCAAAAAGGAACCAGGAGCATTGCAATGTTGCTAAGATTGTGCAGCTTCTCTTGTCTTGGAAGAAGAACCCCTTGATCTGTAAACACTTTCTATTTTAATCGCTGAAGACTGTAAATTTAGGACAAAAATTATCATGTAAACTTAATATTTTTTCAGGATTTCAATACTTTTATTGCAAAGGATGAAGTTGCACAGTTTTAGCATCGTTGCAATGCTTCTGGTGCTTTTTTGCAAAATGCAATCCAAATAAAGTACGACAGGAAGTCTGAACTGGTAAAGAGGTGTCTGGACGATGTCAAGATGGTTCAGGCAAGGTGTCATATTGTCATAATCAGAGATCAGTGGCGTGGTGTGCTTTGCGATGTATCTGTCGCAGGCAAATAGTACAACCAGGCATTTTATCAAATGCCTAGGCAAATAGTCAAATATTCTAACCTAGATTGAAATACTGATTCTTTTCCTAATTTCGGACAAAATAATTCATTGCTCCTGCGAGAAAAAATTCTCAGTAAAAATTTGCACACATATTAGTATTTTAAACATTTTTTAGCTCCTGTAGAGACACTGATCTTGAAATTTTCAACAAGTCGTAAATTACAGAATTTTTGGAATTTCAACATTTAAAAATATGAGAGGCAATTGACGAGTAAGAGACAAAAAGAGTTCGATAGGTTTGTTAAGTCATTTTTCCAAAAATAGTGAAAAATCGTGAGCTCTTCGCGAAAAATTCACAAAATTTTGTAGACCGTCAAAATTTGACCATCTGCCAAGGCATTTGACAAAATGTCTGATTTCACTATTTGCCTGCGACATATCGATTGATCTGCCATTTAAACCCATGGGAAAGGATCTATGAACGGGGTATTCGCAACGAACTCTTCATTAATCGATTCTTTACCATAGCTTCAAATGGGAATATATCGATGGTCGATCCCCACACCTCACCTCCGTCAGAGATCGCTGGTCGAAGTGCGAAGCCACGTATCTCCAATGCGGGATCACAAAATTTCCGCTCATATTCCCATTTTTCGAAGAGAAAACAGCCAACTTTATGGCTCTAGAAAGTTGCTGGTCGGACAGATCTTATTATTTTTAGCTATTCTACAAGTACCAAGCATCAAAACACGACTCAATGACCAGCGCGCAACTGACCCATTATTACAATTTTGCAACATTGGGCTTCGTCCCTTTAAACATCTACAAAAAAATCTGAATACATGGAAATTGACTGTCTCTCTTAGAATCCTTGGTTTTGAATGGATTTGAATTCGATGGAGGAGAAATATTACTATTGCCAACTTGCCAGAGTCACCTGTGCCTCCCAAGTTCCTCTCTGTTTTCTTCATTCTAAAATCTAAAACTGCTCTGTCAACTTACTGCCGTAAAAATGTGTTTACTCAAGCATGTCTCGATTTCAAAATGGTCCATTCCAAGGTTCTTGAAAAGGAACTTCCGCTTTACGAAAGTTACGTCGCTCTACAATTATCATCCTCCTTAATTAACGACTCAGTTGCGTCTTCGAAGTCATAAATTTTATTGTTGGGTCACGAATGGCGACACGGTGGAAAACATCAACCGACAATGTTTTCTATGGATCACCCATCCTTCAAACTTTTGAAATCTGATCGTCATTCCTTGAAGGGAGCTTTTCTGGGGGTAACATTGTCAGCAAAGCTATTAATGTTAGAGAAATTATTGACAGCGCGCGTATGGGGGTGAAGGAAAGGATTGTGATAGCCTCCGAGTGCCCCCCCCCCTTCCCCACCTGCACATAGTTCTGTTTGACAGAATTACGTCCAATTTACTTTAATGAAATGTACCTGTCCAATTTTTGTCCGAAATTTATCTGCTTTTTGCATGAAGTCTGAAGAAAAATCAGTGAAGTTTTCAGTTAGAAAAGCTCAAGATTTTCCTGATTAATGTACAATTTGCAAGTGGAAAGGCAACATTGAAATAAAGTTACGTTCTTTCGCAAGGGAACGACGATATGTGACCGGATCTGTGATAAGGGATCTTCCAAATATTCGAATTTGAGTTGACTAACGAGCACACCCCTTCTCTCCCACCTGTCTCTGGTTCCGTTTAGAAATACGACCCAATAGCCCGTTCAATGGAATATCTAGGCAATTTGGCGCGGGTGGGTCCGGTGAAGTCACGGATCCGGTCACCGGTTGATACGATCTGATCGTGAACCGATACCAAAACTAGAGCAAGATGCCGAAGGACTGTGACATCGTGACAATTAACACATCTAACTTTCAAGCGCGTTGCTCCAACATGACGTCATACCTGCATATGTCATTGGCGGAAACACCATCCAACGAATGTCACTCGTTAAAATCCCAGGGTTCGGTGCGGAGAAATACCGTGCGAGGAAAAAACGTCATATAAGCATTCCTGCGTTGCCCAAATTCTTCTGACAAAATATTCATTTTAGAGGATATTTTTAGATATTTCGAATTGGAATTTTCAGATACTCCGGGGAAAATTCTGAATAAAACTCGGTGAAAAATTAACCAAAAAATACGCATTTAATGTCAAGGGAATTTGGTTTTTAAAAGTAGAGATTTGGCAACGCCCGA